CTGCTAGTGGCTAGTACCTGGGCGCACGAGCACCGTGGGCGTCTCGGCCCATGTTCGATTCTCGGCTGGATACGATCCATGGTTTTTCCTCAAAGAAAGGCAGAGAGCCCTCGGGACCGGTCGAACGGACCCGAGAACTATATGGATTGACCGCTGAGAATCTAGAGTCGGTCACCAGCTAACCCAAGCCAGACCCCCATGAATGGGATGTCGGGGCCCCACTCGGACTAGCCCGTTAATAGCTCACCGAGCACTATGATTTGTCCATAGAGGAAAATCATGGCATGGCACAACCCCTTCGTTTTTATCAGAAAAAATGCTTGAGAGAAAACAATCACAAAGATGAGCCGACCCTCGACCGGACCCTTGCTATGGACGGGGGCTCGAGGAAAGTTGGACTCGCGAGGAGACCGAACACGTGGTCGTAGAACGACAGACCCCCGTAGGGGACAGAATCAGAAAAGACCTTTTCCGACTGAAAGGTCCTAATGGCTAGAGGGGGGGGGTGAATAGCCTAATAAAAATTTCTACAACAACACTTAACCAAATGGTTAGACAATTATGAGGCGAAGCTATTGTTACGCTAGCCTACTCAAAAATGCAAGCCACCTACCACAATTCTAGTTTAGATAGTGTCAATTCACACAAGAGCAATGACACTACCCTATGTTAGTGTGCTCTCAAAGGCTAACTAAAGAGCCACACCAACCAAGCATGCAAGCTCTCACAACTAGCTACACTAAAGAGCTTGTCAACTAGTTTGCGGTAAAGTAAAGAGAGTGATCAAGAGGGTTATACCGCCGTGTAGATGAATGAACCAATCAATCACGAAGATGAATAACAATGATGACCAATCACCTCGGAATCAATGATGAACACAATGATTTTTACCGAGGTTCACTTGCTTGCCGACAAGCTAGTCCTCGTTGTGGCGATTCACTCACTTGGAGGTTCACGCTACCGATTGGCATCACTCGCCAAACCCTCAATAGGGTGCCGCACAACCAACACAAGATGAGGATCACACAAGCCACAAGCAATTTACTAGAGTACCTTTTGGCGCTCCGCCGGAAAGGTCAAGAACCCTCACAATCACCACGATCGGAGTCGGAGACAATCACCTCCTCCACTCAACGATCCTTGCTGCTCCAAGCCGCCTAGGTGGCGGCAACCACCAAGAGTAACAAGCGAAATCCATGAGCGAAACACAATCACCAAGTGCCTCTAGATGCAATCACTCAAGCAATGCACTTGGATTCACTCCCAATCTCACTATGATGATGAATCAATGATGTAGATGAGTGGGAGTCCTTTGGCTAGGCTCACAAGCTTGCTATGTCAATGAAAATGTGCAAGAGTTATCCCTTGAGCGGCCATGGGGCTATAAATAGAGCCCCCATCAAATAGAGCCGTTATACCCCTTCACTTGGGCAAAACGCTGCGTTACGACCGGGACGCCCGGTCAGATCGACCGAACGCCGCTCTCGCCGTCCGGTCGCTTCGATGTCGCCCGCGTGTCGAGACTCAACGGTCATCAGCCTCGACCGGACGCCGCTTGCTTCTTCGAATCGACCGGACGCTGAAGCCCCTCGCGTCCGTCGTTTACATAAAGTTCCGGGCATGACCGGACGCGTCTGATAAAATTGACCGGACGGCGAAGACCCAGCGTCCGGTCGTTTCCAAGAAGCTCCCGAGGCATGTTTTTTGACCGGACGCGTCCGGTCCACCTTGACCGGACGCAGACCAGCGTCCGGTGCTCAATCCTATCCACTGTGCCGTCTGACAGCTCGACCGGACGCAGCCTTTCAGCGTCCGGTCAGTAGACCGACGCCAGCATCATTTCGATCAACTCCATTTCAACTCTAACTTCTTCACCCTTGCTCAAGTGTGCCAACCACCAAGAATTTTGCATCCGGCGCAATCATGATGAAAGGGAATCGCTGTCCCCAGGACACGCCGTGGGCGACAAAAGAAGGCCGAGGCCCTCAGAGTCCTCCCATCTGGAAAAGCCTCTGAAGGAGTATTCTACTCCTCCACAGGCTTAGGGGCTACTGTCGAGGACCAATACTAGGGTACCCGAAGAGGAGAAGCTAATAGTCATCAACATTAATTCATCCGAGCAGTCAAGAGCGCGACTACGGCTCCAACCGACCACTAGGTGTGCGGGCTTTGCCTCGCCCGACCTCTGGGGGGCGGGCTCCGCCTCGCCCGACCCCTTGGGTGCGGGCTCCGCCTCACCTGACCCTTGGGTTTGCACTCCGTCTTGCCCGACCCCTCGGGTGCGGCCTCCGTCTCGCCTGACAGGGTCCCATACTACCGCCAACCACTCAGGTCCAGGCTTATGGGCCTGGGTTAAAACTCTAACACCAAGGAAGAGACCGGCACGCCCCGATGTAACCCATGGCCATGACGGGCCATACCTGAGGATTCACATTAAGAACAGCGTCGGGCGTGCCGGTGCTATTCTGCCTAACCCTCGTACAAACGATGACAGGCGCGTCAGTCCATCACGACGTCCGCCGAGATGGGATGGAACGCCATGACCGGCAGACGATGCCTGCGCATGGCGCCAGTGACGGATAGGGCCGTGACGTGGGACATCTACAGGATCGGTGTGACCCGCATGAAAGAGAATGACCCAGCGATCATGAAGGCCTTCCTCTCTATCTGTTTTTTCTCTTTTCCTCCGCTGTAACCCATGCTTTCCCTTGGCTTATAAAAGGGAAAGCAGGGCGTCCCATGAAGGAGAGGCGATTCAAGCCGGATCGACCCATCGACCGATCAATCGAGATCCGCACAAGATCATAACACGAGATAAACACACAAGAACACGACACGAACACAGGGCTGAGCAGCGATCGAGCTCTCAGCACCTGTTCACTCCTTCCACCAGAGACTTGGGATCCTTTCCCTCTCTTGCCCATTTGTAACCCCTACTACAAACTTTCAGTGTTAGTAACACGAGTAGCAGCAACGAACTAAACGTAGGGACTTTCTGTCCGAACCAGTATAAACCTCGTGTCCTCTAAGCACACTATCCGAGCCAAACATGCAATACTAGAAATTTACTTATCGGTGGTAACTCGAAACACCAACACTGCTGCTGCTCATAACTTGGTACATATGCATTTTTTAGTTGGTACTACCTAAGTCGTAGAACGTAGCACTAAATCAGATCCATAGTTTTGTCATAGTTGGACTACAATTTTAATGGTGCCATGGTGGAATTTGTAAGGGGTAGATACAGTACAGAGAACAAAAGTGACAACTGAATTAGTCAGGCAATGGTAATCACAAATGTGCAAGCGTAATTGCAAATGCAAAGAGGCAAACGAATTAGCTCAAATCGATAAAGGGCTTACAGTAGTGGGGCGCCGACCTCCTTCACTCCTCGCGGTGGAGGCACAACATCGGTTCGCCACCCTTCCGGTGCCCCGGCCAAGCCCTCTGCCTCCGCCGCCGCCGCGCTTGTAGCTCCATCCGCCGCGCCGCGCCTGCCGTCCTCGCCGCCGAAGTGATCGTTGGCCTTGTGTGGGGCTGTTTTTTTTTAAGCCTTGAACTCCTAGTGTATAAGTTGTAGTATCTGTACTCTACACAACACTCACACCACCATACACACACACTCCTAGAAGCTACAACCTATACACCCCAAACGTCCTTCTAGAAATCACCGAAGCCACACGATCCTCATAGACGACGAGCACGTCGTAATCCCATTGTAGCGCCACGCGAGTGTGTAAACCTACAAGATTATTTATTGAAAATAAATCCCCATAATTAGAAATCACTGAGCCGAGCAGGTCTCAAACTCACGACCGGTGGCTTCCACACCGGGAGAGCTCTCCGGGAGAGCTGCAGCTCGGTCCCCTTGTGTGGGGCTGTTGGCTAGATGGGTTGGTATGGACATTCGCATGAGACTGACTAGGAGACCTGAGTGGGCCTATCCTACTGCATATGTATTTGGTATCGGAGGCTGGCGCCAATATGAGCACGTGTTCGCCTGTGGCCGATGGCCATCATGATACTGGGCCTAGTTTCACAATAGGGCCTCCAGTCGTGTGCTTCTCAGCCCAACTTTCCATCCATTTGCACTCTTCTTTTCTCAAAAAAAAAAAAAACTTTTGCACTCTTCTGGCAGATATTTGATTTTTGAATTGGAAATTGTTGCCGTTTTTCTCGCTGATTTGAGTCTGAGGCAGATATTTCGTCCAGCTAGGCTAGAGAGGCACCATATACACAAAATGATTGCAGAGTCTCTCTTTCACTGATACGAGTGGACATTGTGATGGGCATCCTCGTGATCATTCCCAGATTTTGGTGAGGGACAGGTATAAGCACAAACTTGGCGAAATATCCTCAATATTGAAAGTCACTCCGATCTTTGAGAACATCATCGCATGTTGATCTTGGCATGCAGATGCAGATGCAGATGCCGACATGACAAACCTTGGTTGTTTAGGCAGATTTCGCACCATCCAAAATCGAAAGTGACGTGCATGTGTCCATTTCCGTGCCAAAAGCAACTAAAAGAGGAACTGTTTAGCACCTAGATACGGAGTTAAAAATACAATTTTTTTTTTCTGGTTTGGGAGGGGCCATGGTATTGAATTTCTCAAAATTCAGTTAAATTTAAATATTTTCAGTGTGAAGTGTTTGAACTTAGAAGGGTTGGCCCTTCTCCGATCCCTTGCCCCTGCTATATAGTAGCTAAGCCGTAAAATCACATGCAAATTCTTGAGACCTACCCTTTCTGTCATGTACATTTCCTAATAAGAAACTATCATCATCATGATTAATGGTGATTGGTCAATAAATGACAAGTAACAATATAATGACTACCAAATGTATACAAATATTTGATGCAAAACAATTTTATATCTCCTAGAATCCCTTATATTGTACACCTTTCTTTTTTTTTATCTAACATAGTAACCATAGTAGGGATCCCAACCCCTCCAGATCCTTTTAAAAAAAAAAGAGTGAGATAATGACGAACAACTTCATTCCATAAACCAAACACCCTCGATTTCGTGCAATTCCGCAGCTGCTTCCCTCATGTTCATTCGATCACCAGAGGCCTCGCAAGTGCAGGAAAGAGCCACTTTCACCAGGGCCACCAAGCACCAGAGGACTCTGCTTTCGTCTTCTGGATACGCTGCACACTCCTTGTATTCTTCTAGGAGATGAGCATCGACTATGCCAAGTATTTGATCAGGAAAACTTGTCTTGCAGAAGCTGATGATGCTGAGTCCATTGCAGAAGAGAGGATCAGTTGGCCTTTTCCCCGTCAACATCTCCATCAGGACTACCCCAAAGCTGTACACGTCTCCACAAGTTGATAGGTAACTACCTCCGGCATACTCTGAACATCATTAGAAGAAGAAAAAAAGGCACAGATCAGTATGACATAGTGCGTGTGTATATTGTTATCACATAAAAAAAAGTTACAGCTTTATGTCCTTTTGTTACCTGGAGCAATGTACCCAATTGTTCCCTTCAAATTTATTGTGCCAGTTGCTCTCGAATCTCCCACTGCCTGTGATTTGGTTTTGAGGTAGAATCTTGCGATGCCAAAGTCCGCTAAATGAGCAGCCATATCGTCATCAAGAAGAATATTGCTGGGCTTCAAGTCGCAGTGAATAATGGGAGTCTCACAATCATGATGTATATACTGTAGTGCATCAGCTATATCAACAATTATTTTCAATCTTTGTGACAGATCCAGGTTTCCATAGCCAGGTGGGTGCAACCAAGTATCCAAACTACCATTGGGCATGAACCTGTAGACTAGAGCTTTGAAATCGTTTCCCATGTTATCGATAGTTGAGCATGCGGTTAGAATTGGAACAAGGTTTCGGTGACGGATATTTCTTAGAGCTTGGCATTCTGATATAAAACTCCTATCAGTCCCTTCCATGGCAAGGTCGAAAACCTTCACAGCAACAACCATGGATTCTGGAGTTATTAGCCTCCCTTTGTACACTAAACCATGGCTTCCCCTGCCAACCAAATTACACTCTGCGAAGTTCTCTGTGGCTTGAGCAAGATCCTTGTAAGAAACTTTAGGAAATTGCTCACCAGAAAAAGATGGTGACAGCAGTGCTCTTGGCACCTTCTTCCTTGAGATGATAAAATATATGAGCAATGTGAGGGACACGATGCCTATTATGGGGATTGCTATTCTTACAAAATAGTGTCGCCATCCAATTGTTTTCTGTGTAGGGTTGGGGCATGGAGGCATATGCAGTTCTAGTACACCTCCACAAAGCCGCCAATTGCCTACAAGTGAGATGGCTGTAGTGTTTTTGAATACCCCTTCTTCTGGCACTTCACCATCAAGATGATTGTGGGACAGATCTAATTGTGTAAGAAGCCGTAGTTTGCTTAGAGAAATTGGGATAGAGCCTGAGAAATTGTTGTGAGAAAGGTTGAGCATGGTCAAACTACCCAGATGGCCAAAAAATGCAGGGATGCTTCCAGAGAGAAAGTTCACGTCCATTTTGACAGTTTGCAATTGCTGGCAAGTGCCAAGAGAAGATGGAATTTCTCCGCTAAGCTTGTTGGATGAAAGATCCAGATAGTTGAGCTGTTGAAGATTACCAATATAGGGTATTTGGCCTTCCAGATTGTTGTGATATAATGAACACTGAACAACTGTAGCTGCAATGAGATCTTTTGGTATATTGCCTTGAAGATTGTTGAAACCGAGGTCTACAAGTAAGAGCTGTGGAAGTTTTCCTAGACTTGACGGTATGGGACCATAGAATTGGTTAGCTGCTAGATTCAGATGTAACAGATTTGAAAAATTACCAATGGAGTCTGGAATGTGCCCATTGAAGTTGTTCCATGCAAGGTATAAACCTTGTAAATTAACCATATTTCCAATCCATCCATCAATGGGACCTGTAAAATTGTTGTCCACTAGGTCTAATTTAGTTAGCTTATGAAGGTTTCCTATGCTTGACGGGACTAAACCGTATAGCATGTTTTCTGCAAACATGAGGTTGTCAAGATTAGAGGACAGGTTACCAACGGAATTCGGAAGTACTCCCTGCAGCTGATTTCCGTTGAGTGTAAGCAGCTCTAGAAGAGTGCAGTTGGTCAATGCATCTAGAAATTCCCAGCTTTGGCTATCATTTGCTGTAAGATTATTATGATGGAGACCTAGTGTTCTGAGATTCCGAAGTTTACCAAGAGAAGGAGGGATTTTGCCTGTAAAGCCATAGTTAAATCCCAAGTCTATTGACTGCAGCTCTGATGCGTTGCCTAGTGAATCCGGGATGTGACCTCCCAGCATGTTGGCACTCAAGTAAAGGCGTTGGAGTTTAGGGAGGAAGTCTCCGATTTTAGGTGGCAATGGACCATGTAGCAAATTCAGTGGCATGGCAATTTGTTGTACCAAAGAGAGGTTAAAGAGTGCTTCTGGGATTCTACCTGACAACATATTTCCACCAAGCAACAAGTCTGTCATATTCGATAACTTGCCAAGCTCCTCTGGAATGCTTCCATGGAGCTGGTTAGCTTGAAGAATGACGTACTGTAAGGTTGTGATGTTACCTAGGTCAGGTGGAATGGCCCCTGAGATATTGTTAGAGTAAAGCCGCAAATCTAATAGGTTGGAGAGGAGGGCAATTTTCTTGGGAATCTCTCCCACGAGCAAGTTTTCATGAAAGTATAATTTCTGCAAACTGGAACAATTTGTGACTGCATCCGGAATGTTTCCCTGTAATGAGTTGGAACTCAGGTCAAGAAGCTTGAGCTTGTGCAGATAGCCGAGATGATGAGGTATGTGGCCAGAGAACATGTTCATGGAGAGGTCAAGAGAAGCAAGGTATGACAGGTTTCCTAGGGAAGGAGAAATGTGACCATCCAAAGCCTGCCCAGACAGGTTCAGCGCCACTACGCGCTCCAGACGTGTTCGGCTACACGCCACGCCCTCCCAGCTGCAAAAGTGGACGGTGCTGTTCCATGAGCTCAATGCCCCTTTTGGATCATTCCTGATTGTGCGCTTGAAATCAAAGAGAGAAAGGAAATCTGTGTCGTTCCCATCGTGGGTCATGCAGTTAATGGTTCCAGCTCCACAGGAAAATAGCAACACTATTGTGGCCCACGGTATGAGCATGGCTAATTTCATGTGTTCTTTAACAGCCCTATAGTCTTTTGTTATCTACATAAAGAAGAACATCAATAAATCACATACTAGCTAGGCTCACTTTTGCACAAAGCAAAACCAAGAATAGAGCTCATAAAAGAGAGAAATTAAGACAAAAAACAAAAGCAAAGATTTGAAGTGTACTAAGTACCTGCTCATGACGCCTGAGTCCTGGCTCAAAAAGAAAGCTTTGTAACAACTAAGATCAAAATAAGCCAAAATGAAGTGTTTGATACGCAGATACTCGAGAGAAGAGACAAAGAAGCATACCACCACACAGCCACACAGGGCACCTCGATCTGAGAACTGGGAGCAACAGAGAAGAACCGGGCCTTCTCTTATATATACTGGACACGAGTTGAAGAATTCAATTCGTTTAAACAAGTGTGGAAGGTGGACACGAGTTGAAGAATTCAATTCGTTTAAACAAGTGTGGAAGGTCATTATATGAAGACGTTTCACCTGTCATGCTTTATTGACATTTTCTCATGTTGGGCATCTCTTTCAAGTTTGCTGAAACATTACACAGCAAACTTAAAGCTGTGGACTTTGGCCAGACTTTTGAGTCCAGATTACAGGCTGGCAAAGAAAACGTGAAAAGGAATGAATGAGTCTTCCTCAAAGGTAGTATGGTGTCATGTGGGGCCGTACGTATAGCCGGCGCAGGAGGAAGCGAGACGTACGCAGGGCAGCAGAACGCGCGGAGGGCGCGTTGGGCGCGCGCGGCGCAGCGGACGGCTCGGCCTCGACGGGTGGCGGCTGAGTTGGATACGTAGTTTAGTTGGTTTCTATTTTCAGTTTAGTTGGTTTCTGTTTTTAGTCCTTAATTATAGGATCAGTTAGTTTCCTTACGTGTGAAGGCCTCAGGCCATATTTATAGGCTGTAATCGGAACACTTGAGGATTAAGCAAGAATATTATCCTACTCCCATCTATATCTCTCCTAAGCCTACGGTAGAGGGGTATAACCTCACCGGAGAAGACGGCCGACGGCTACGAACTCCGTAGCCGCGGTGCAGCTAGTCGAGGATTTGACGACCTTGACATATGGTCTGTGTGCCCACTGCCCACTACCTATGGCTAGCGATAGAGACAGTTGTGGATGGCATCCAATGTAAGGCCTAAAGCCTCCAACAGGTCAAAGGAACAGTAACACACAAGAACACACACGTACACAAGTGGTTTGGTGGCATGACTTAGCCTTTTCTTGTTTTCTCCTCTTCTAATATAGCCAACGTGAGCTACAAATTAGGCTGTGACAGCCTCCTAATAAATGCAGAAAATTACCCAACTAATCAGCCTATTATTACTTATGCTGAAATTTAGCTAAGTAAATGCTATGAACCTAGACACTAGCATGCACTTAGACACACAGGATTATTTTCAACATCCAACACTAAAAAGTTTAGGTTAGATCAGATTAGTAAAATATTTAGGTTTGTTTTAGCAACTTCATTTAAAAAAAAAATTATATATCATTTATAATAGTTCGGTAAATGATTTAGTTCTGCTTAGTTTCAGGTCGCTACTGTTTGGTTTCTTTTTAGTAAATCTATTATTATGTTAATACCATAGTGTTAAAAGAAGCCACCACATTCATTCTCAAGAGAGAAATTACCACAGAAAATGAGAAAGAACATACATTGCTGGATTCTATGATCATCCAACAATCTATATTAAACAAAATGTTTCATATCAAATGCAACTAATTAAAAGGTGAAAGATCTACACCATAACTTGATAGGATCATCCAACGGTCTAGACTAATATAATTCGAATATTTAACTAAAATGTAAATTAAAATTCCAGGAAATAAGTAGTCCGATCTCCATACAAATATAGGAACAGAAACCAGAAAAGAATCCATATGATTTCCAACTTTGGGGGGGGTAAATATAACAGAAGATGATACCCAAAGAAATCGTTTGGAATTTAAAACTGAGCAACTCATGCACAGTTTGCATCTTTAATTATGCATTTGCACAAGTCTTGGTCGCCAAAAGATGAGAAAGAGATGGCAAATAGAAAGAAAGAGATGTGTTCTTACAAGAAGTTTGCAGGAGCAGAGTTGGTGCTGGCGCCATGGAAGCCATAGCCAAGAAGAGAAGGATCCTGCCTTGAGTGACCAAAACTACTAGTTTCTTACATCTTGTGAGGCACACACTCAGCTCCTTCTCTACTTCTTGTAGATTAACTAGCACCTTGGCTTCTTTTCATTCAACAAAAAGCTGGCTCCTGCATTCAGAACACAAAAACATAAAATTGGCTGGTCAGAGATCTATGGCAATCAAGAGCTAGCCCAGGACAACAAAGTAGCTTGGAGACTTGGAGTTGCAGGGTAGGCAGTCTTCATCGTTTCTGTTTTTAATTGCTGTCTTTCTCACTTGCATCTTCTTGTTTGATATGACAGTATAGTTTCAGCTTCTAAGGGGGCTTAGAGATTTGTCTTCCTTCCCATGGCTTGTCAAAAACAAAACCCAATCTCACACCAATCATCAAATAATATCCATATGCAAATTGCTTGAACTAACATATTAAATTCCTAAGTCCAGTGTTAAGTCTAATAAATCAATTTGATTTACTACCTAATATGTGACTTGTCATTGATGTGATGGACCGAGGTTAGGTAATCTGTATATGTTTTAACATCATCGCGCACATAATGTAGACAGCAATAGAAAGCAACACTTATGCCATGGGTGATTCTTCAAAAGTGCAACAACAACAACAACATAGCCTTTCAGTCCCAAGCAAGTTGAGGTAGGCTAGAGTTGAAACCCACCAAGAGCCCCAAGTCACGGTTCAGGCACTTCAATAGCTGCTTTCCAAGTACTCCTATTCAAACATAGATCTCTAGGTATATCCCAAGCTTTCAAATCTCTTTTTATGCCTCCCCCCATGTCAATTTCGGTCTTCCTCTACCTCTCCTCATATTATTAGCTTGGCTTAGAACTCCACAATGCACTGGTGCCTCTGGAGGTCTCATTTGGATATGGCCAAACCACCTCAACCGATGTTGGACAAGCTTTTCTTCAATTGGTGCTACCTCTAGGCGATCACGTATATCATCGTTCCGAACTCGGTCCATTGTTGTGTGACCGCAAATCCTGATTCTTCAAAAGTGCACCTCAGAAATTTCACCGTGGGTTCCTAATAAAGTCATACATGAACTAGGGGTCACCTTTCGCAACCGATGTAGTTTACAGTAGTGAAAATATATAAGGGTTAACATATTCAATCTAGTTAACAACACCAGTATTGTGTGATTTCACAGATGTTCACACAGGATATACAATTGGTATAAGTGTTATCCTACCATGATTCCTTGTCAGATGTTATCCTACCATGCTGTTAGGCCCTGTTTTTTTGTCTAAAAAATCTGCTGAATATCCTTTGTAATCTTTGGGCATGCTATAAAATAGAAGTCCATACACATAGGTTTAGTTATTTTACTATTTTTTCTGTGAGCACATCATCTGTCATGATGATTAGATGCGATATTGAAATCAAGCTTGCAACCACATCACATGTTGGACTGATAATCCCTATTTTAAGACTCATGTATGTACAAGAACTAACTGAAAGTTAAGTCACTGAGCAAATGCTCGAAATTATGTAGCGATTTCGTTTCCACTTTGGTGTTGGTAGATGATGATACGAAAACTGATGCAAGAGCGGAATAAACGTTAGTCTCAGAGATCGAGTTTGGTTCCTCTGTTCAACTTATCAGCTCTGGTCTTTTAATTCCCCATCTGTTGCTGCCCATAACTTCATGCAAATGCAAATTTTAGTTGGTACCTGCGAGTCGCAGAAAGTCGCACTAAATTTGATTTGATCCTTTTTTTTTTTGTCATAGTAGGAGTCTAAAATCTGAATGGTGTCATGGCGGCATTTGCAAGGTGTAGGTACAGTACAGAGAACCAAAGTGACAACTGAATTAGTCGGGCAATGGTAATCACAAATGTGCAAGCGCAATTGCAAGGAGGAAAATGAAATCTCTCATATTAATAAAAGGGCAAGAGGCGTGGGGCGCCGACCTCCTTCGCTCCCGGCGGTGGAGGCAGCATCGGTCCGCCGCCCTTCCAGTACCCGGCCGAGCCCTCCGCCTCCGCCTCCGCCGACGCTGCCGCCGCGCCCGCCCTCCTCGCCGCCGAAGTGTTCGTTGGGCTTGGGTGGGCTAGATGAGTTGGTATGAGCACCTCGGTTGGCCGAAGCGTACGTACGTATGCGGGGCGAGACTTGGTCAGGCCCATGCTACCTTTTAGGGCCTAGTATGAGCACGTGTTCACCTGTGGCCTGTGGGCCGATGGCCATGATCTCACTGGATGTAGTTTCACAATAGGGCCTCCAGTCGTGTGCTCTTTTCGGCCCAAGTTTTCATCCATTTTCACTCTTCTAGCAGATATTTGACATTTGAATTCAAAATTGTTGCCACTTTTCTCATTGATTTGAGCTCAGGCAGATATTTCGTCCAGCTAGGCTAGAGGCACCACCAAACACAAAATGATTGCAGAGTCTCTTTCACTGATACGATCGAGTGGACATTGTGATGGGCTAGCTACATCCTCGTGTGGGTGGTGATCGATCATATTACCCAGATTTTGGTGAAGGACGGGTAAGCACAAACTTGGTGAAATATCTTCAGTATTGAAAGTCACTCCGATGTTGCTAGTTTATCATGAATCCGTCGGTCGGTTCGATCTTTGAGAACATCATAGCATGTTGATCTTGACATGCAGATGCCGACATGACAGACCTTGGTTGTTTAGGCAGATTTTGCACCATCCAAAATCGAAAGTGACATGCGTCCATTTCCATGCTGAAAGCAACTAAAAGCTAGGAGTAGGAGGAAGGAACTGTGTATTAGTAGCTAAGCGGTAAAACCATGTGAATTCTTCAGACTTAATTCATGGTTCATGCTAACTTCCATCTGCATGTTAATGCCAACAGCGCAGAATAACATAACTGTATGTTAATATGTAAAACCACACTTACACAATAATATACGGAAGAACCTAGAACCCTATCTAGTTTGGCTTGCATGCGGTGCTTGGGACTGTGGTGCAACTAGGGAAATCGGAGCTGTTGCTATATTATTTGGGTATTTCGTTCGTCAATCTCATCTTGAGAATTTGTCGTTCCAATCTTCGAAGATGCTTGTAGGGGTAGAGTTTACGTACGTACGTTTATAGGGGTAAGTGTGCATGCTTTGTGAGCATCTGCGTTGTAGTGTGTAATCTAAAAAAATGGATATTACGTAAGTAGGCAACAATGACATGCAATACTATAGGAAGCTTTTTGAGAGGTAGCTAGAATGGGTTTGTAGAGGCATCTGCTTTGCCCACTTGTACTTGTGTGTCTCTAAAAATATCAATTTCTAGAGACGAATTGATTTCTAAAGGCGGTCTGAAACTAAAAATAGAGGGCATTTCAAGTCTAAACGGAATTTAAAAATGGATTTCTAGAGGTGGGCGAGCTCAGAAACCATTTTAGAGACTGTGCGCTCTTGATAGAGCCATCTCTGGACTAAAAGGATCATGTCTCTAAAATAGTTTCTATAGTAGTGATGATGCATGATCTCGCCTCCATCTTCTAGACGTGTTTACGAGGCTCTGGTTGCAGTTGTCGATGGGTTGTCAAAGTTGTTTTAGTTTGGCTTGGTGCCCCTATAATTGTGGCTTTGTCTTTGTAGTTGTTTTAGTTGGTGTGTTAGTATTGTTTCAGGGCACAGGTTTGCCGGACCCAAAACTCCCAACGTAGTTGTTCCTCCCGTTGAGTTGTTGTTATAGATGTACTTCTCTTTCCATGGGTTATTCTAGCAAAATTATAGTCATGTGAAAGTTTCACCAGTTTCTCTCTAAAAAACTCTTTTTTTAGGTCAACTACGGGAGGGATCAAACCGATCCTCACCTGAATTTCATTTTTCCACAGATCCCGGCAAGCCGGTGGGTGGAAGGGTGCAAAGCACCTAAAGCAGGGGGTCGATCCTTGAAGGTCAAAGAGTACATGAAAGAGAGAGAGAGAGAGAGAGAGAGAGAGAGAGAGAGAGATTACAACAACACTTAATAATAGAAACAACAACAACAACAAGGGTAAACCTAGAACCGTCTTATTATTAGATATATATATATACATATATGTTGATCATTGTACTGAAGTTGTTTGTAGAAGTGTGGTCCTAGCTAGCTATATGGTTTTCGGGTCCGATTTCCTTATAAACTTAATCATTCTTTCTACTAAAAGAAAACTATTGCCATCCTATAGATAGGAAGCTGACAATTAATAAAGGGCAAATACATGTTGTGTAATTTTCAAAAAAAAGGAAACATGTGAATCCCTTGATATCATACATGTGATGACTGAATCACTGATGAGGACGCATAGTATAGTACTACCATATAAAACCTTACTTGATTTCCAGGATCATCTTTACCTCCTCTTTACAAGCATGTAGCCAACAAGAAAAGATGAAGAGAATCCCTATCTCAAAACTCCTACCATCTATATCTATACTATATCTCTCTCTATGTATATATAATAATCTACATGTGTATTTATGCTATACCCAGCATACAGATGTTTTGCTTACGCTTATTCCAAAAAGTATCTTGCGCATAACTTCTTATATGTAGTGTAGGCACTATCACTGATCCTGTGACTTTCACAAGCATCTGAACGATGAACGACGATGGCAGGCAGTACGTACGTGCTAGAGATCGCTGGCTTCCGGTATGCTCTCCAGCGCGGGTCGCCACCCTCCGCAGCAGAACTCCTCCTCCTGTTCTCGGTCACTCGCCTCCTTGCGCATGAGAGACACCATGTCGTCCAGCGACATGCCCTCCTTGTCGAGCATCTTCTTGAGCTCCTGCTTGCTGATCACCAGCTTCACCCTGACGGCGGCGCCAGCATGGTCGACGCCGGCAGCAGCAGCCGCCGACAGGGGCTCGCAGAGGGCGGCTTCGGTCGGGACCTTCAAGCTGCGCATCCCCGGGGATGGCATCTTGAGGACTTCGCCGCCGTCCACGACGCTCATGATCTTGATCTCCTTCCTGTCTTGAATCACCAGGCAGTTTCCCATGATGATGGCTGATCGAAGTTAGCTGCAAATGAGCTAGAAGCCTAGAACTAGAATTGTGGTAGAGTTCTGAAGCTCTGTTGTTGGAGTTGGAACAAGATCACAAATTTCACAATTGTGTGTGGTAGTGGTGAATGGTGGTGTATCTGAGTGCGTGAGGGGGTTGGAGGCAGTAGTGGATTATTGTTGTATTTATAAAGGAAGTGCTCTATGAATTGGACCCAACATCTAAGTGCTTATTCCATGAATGCCATCGGCCGACCAATGGAAGTTGCTTCGTGTATGATAAAGCTAGCTATGATGACTAGCCACTCTCGCAAGAAATGAGAGAGCCCAACCTGCCTTTTTGTTCCTTGCTGTTCTTGACTTGGTTTGACATGCTTTGTGTCAGGTCGATCAGTAAAATATTGTGGCGCGTGTGCCTAGTGCACTAGGTACAGTTCACACACACATACTAATAATTGTCTATTCTGAAAACTCGCAGAAATTACACATAGTTGTTACAGCTTCTGCTAGAGAAATGTATTCCCTCATCAGTTTGTAAATGCATGAGGTCTAACTAAGTAACTAACTACTTATTTCCCTATATGTTGTCATGTATTTAAAAGCAGACTTGCTAGCGTCCGGACGTTCGATCCGAAGCACTAGCGTCCGGACGGTGCCACGCAGTGAGCAAGCGAGCGCCCCTAGCGCGTCAGGCTCGTAAGCGAGCACGAGCGCCGCAGCAGCGGACCCGCGCCGCCCCGGACGACGCTCGCGCCACCCCGAACGTCACCCACGCCGCCAGCCGCTTCCCACGCGCATCCCATGTGCAACATCAGATTTACTTTTGAAACATCCTGATGCAACACTTGAAACAAGCGTATGAAACACTTGCGAAAACACTTGAAAACCATTGCAAACATATATAACATCCAAATGAAACACTTGTAAACATACCTATGAAACACTTGAAAATATATGTTTGTAACATGCATGTATATGCAACATCTAGATCTACTTTTGCAACATCATATCCAGATAAAACACTTGCAACATACATTGGAACAAGTGAAACATTTCGAACATACACTCGAAACATACGTGTATAGCCATTACAACATGTGCAACATCCCGATCCTACTTTTGCAATATCAATATACAACGCTTGCAACACATCTCTGAAACATCTGAAACACTTAAAACTTACTCTTGCAACATGCGCTTTCAGCGTAGCATCTATTTATTGCTTGAATGAATGGAGGCTTGTCGACGCGGAGCTCGCTGCTCCGGTGGAGAGAGGCCACTGTGGGTCGCTCCGGTAGAGAAGGTGGACCGCGCGCTGGAGAAGGCCGCAAGGCAGAGTAGGCGCGCGCTAGAGAAGGCCGCGGTGGGTCGCTTCGGTGGATGAGGTAGGGCGTGGCAACGACGATGACGCAGTGGGCGGGTGGGGGCTGGAGCAGGAAGCCTGGATGGGAGGAGATCTATGGCAGCTTGGATTTTGCGCCACCCAGCACGGGCATGAGTGGACGCCATGACGGGAGGCGGAGGTGCGGATGACGCGGTGAACACAGAGACAGGTAGATCGGGGAAGTTATCGGTCGCAAAGATGGGGGAGTAGGGGAGCAGGCTGGATGTCTGTTGGGCCGGTCAGCTACGCATGCCCAAGGAGACAGCGTCCAGACGCCCTGTAAGAAGCATTTCCAATTTAAAAGTGAGTGGAATATTTTCTTTAGAAAGATTATAGAAAGATTGGCCTCTTAGTGGTACCACCTCTGTTTTAAATGTCTTATGTTCATGACAAGGCTAATTAGTGTAAAAATGAACTATGGAAGCAGTATTGGTCTTCCTCTTTTACTGGCAGATCAGAGATCTCGGAATGAAGTCAAAAGAACCAGAGACAACACATCAATATATGGGTTTGTTAAATTTAGCTGCCTATTTATGTCTCAAAGTCTAAACTATTACTAACAATTTAACCACTTAATCTTTGTCTAAACTACTCACCTCTATGATGGTGAGAAATAATCTAAAGTAACCTATGAATTGTATCTAAATTAATTACAAAACTATTATATATTACAAAAACAACAAAAAAGTAATCAGTAACATATAAGTTTCCTACCTTTAAATGCACTAAATTACTCTTGTAATGCTTATAAATTACCCACATTTGTTACTGTTAATTTTTTTTTGAGATACAATACAAACGTATATGCTCATATATACGAGCATATATATGCACACCTATCAACATAAGCACGCACACTCTACCCCTATGAGCACCTCCCCTGTGAAATCACGTTGAGGACAATTCACCTACCACTGAAAGAATAACGTTGTTAAATTCTAAAATAAATATAGAAAAAATGCAAGTACATGTGTCAAGTCAAAGGACTTGGATCTATATGGACAGATTCCATCACAAAGAACTTAGGCCTCAGTCGGCATTTGGCATCTGCTAGCTAGCTTGCTTTTGGCGAGTAGTGCTGGAGGTAAGAATCATTCGCCTGTTGTCTATTTTGCAACTGAAAACAAAATGAGCGAATCCAACAATGATACAATGCGCGTATGCTAATGAAAGTGCTGGGTATGTATGTGTGTGGGGGACAGGCCGAAAACGATATTATTACGAGTAGTCCATTAATATGTCAGTAGCAGCAGCCCACTATGAAATTTAACATGAATTGCACGAAATTGGTTGGCTTTGATTTTATACTGTTCCCTGCGAATGCCGGCATATATAAATTTGTGTTACACGTGTTACATGTTCTTAAGTGTCGATTAACCCAATTACTAGGGACAAAAGCGAAAATGGAACACATCGTTTTCAGGGACTGGTTTTTAAAGTTTTATCACATTTTTATAAAAATGGAAATCAAAATCGAAACTAATATATAGAAATGACAACATTTTCTGACCGTTTCACCATTTTAGTCTGGAAATTCATGATGATATTATATATCGTTTTTATCTATGAAAATGCTGGGAAGCCGGCGTCCATCTGCCCGGACACCGCTCACCCCACTCCGATCCGCATGCTTCAGCGCTTCAAAGGCGCTACCAACTTCAGAAAATATTCGATACCTCCCCCCTCAAGTGGCCACTCATACTTATCCTCACCCCCCCTCCATGTCTCCGTGAAATCACAGAGCACCACCGCTGCCTCCTTCCTCCACCCAAGCCGACCACGCCGCCTCCTCCCTCAATTCGTGTAGCGCCTCCCCGGCCTCTTCCCCAACCCTAGCGCCGGCGTGATGCCTCGCCACTACGAGGCGCTGCCGCTACCCTTGCCCAATGGCCGATGAGTGCACGTGCCAGGCCGCCTCAGGTCATCCCCGACCGAGCCAAGGGCACCCATGAGCACAACCGGTGCTGTTGGTTCTCGCACATCGCCTCTCCGACGCGACTCCCACCCCGCCGGTCGAAATCGACCGCCCCGACCTCACCTTTCCTATGTTGCAAATGTATGTTTTAAGTATTTCAGATGTTTCAGTGGTATGTTACAAATATTTCATATGGATGTTGCAAAAGTAGATCGAGATGTTGCATGCATAAGTTGCAAGTGTTTCAGAGGTATGTAGTAATCGTTTGTTCAAAATGTTTCATCTGTTTTCAGTCTTATGTTGCAGCAAGTGTTTTCATGTTGCAAGTTGTAAGTGTTTTTATCTGCATGTTGCATATGTTTCACACATACGTTACAAGTGTATTTTCTAAATGTTTCATCTGTTTCAAATGTATGTTGCGTTCACGTTTTTTCATGTTGCATGTGTTTGCTGTTGTTCGGAGAGTCACAAGGGCGCGGTGAGCGATGGGCGCATGGCCCGGCGCCGAGGGATGGGGGTGCGGTAAGCCGAGGGCCTACGGATGGGACGCGCTAGGGGCCGGCGGTCGGGGTGCGCGTGCGGGGCGGGGCGACAGGCGGGGGCGGGCTACATGGGCGACGGACAGGGCGGGATGCTCGAAAGCCCTATTCCTTCTTACGTGCGCAGCATTCCAATGCTAGCGCCCTGGAACGGACGTCCGGGCGCCAGCAATTCCGTTTTATCTATATCCCACACTCCCCCAATCCTGTGCCTTTTGAACCTTTCAGTTTACATGTGTGTATAATTCTATGGTAGTAAAGCATTATTGTTAGTTTTAGAGGGAAAACAGTAAAGCATGTTTGAAAACTTGGTTTATCATTTCTATATTTATGGTGTTGTATAACTGTTTTTTTTACTATGCATTATCAATTTCCAATCGATATTGATATGCCATAATACCGGTGTTGTACGTATTCATTTATAGCAATATCGTTTTCGATTTCATTTTCATGAAAACAAATATGAAAACAAAAACAATTTAGACCTCTTCCTATCATCTCCGACATTTTTCATCCCTACCGATTATATTTAGCGCGCAATGGATGGAAGGCCAGTACGTTTTAGCTAGAAAGCTATTGTTAGTTGATGGTTATATCCTATGAATGAATATATCCATAATTAACATGTTTTTGTAAACTTTTGTTTTCGATGACCATCTATTTGAACTTTTTTGAAACCCAGTATAGACGCAGATGCTCATATACACGCACATACACCCTATCCTTGTGGGCACCTTCTAGAGACTACGTTGGATCAACAAATCTCGAGATTAATGAAATCACCCTGGGCTATATAAAGGAGGGCATAGGCCATGACACACAATTATACCAATCAATCCAACGCAAAAGGCTACACGCCAACTGGACGTAAAGGCTATTACTCGATCACGAGGGCCCGAACCAGTATATATAAATCGTTCGTATCTTTGTGTTCATCGTCGAGTTCCGCATACGTCGAAGCCCCACCAACCATCGTTCCGGGTAACCCTGTGACGAGTTGCCGGTCAATAAACACCAATAGCACCTCGCTGCAGACGGGCACCTCACCAACTAGTGAAAGAATAGTGTCGTTAAATCATAAAATAAATACAGAAAATATGAGCATCGTGCTAAGTTGAGTACTTTGATGGGCAGGTTCAAAAATCTAATCAATTGACAT